CCGTCGAGCGGCTTCCGCTCGCAGTCGTGGTCGCGGAGCTCGCCCAGCACCGTGTCGTCCTCGTACAAGCGCAGCGCGCTCGGGCCGCGCCTCGCCTACAGCGCCGCCGTGCTCAGCTCGGCCGAGAGCAGCCTCGACTTCAGCCAATCGTCGTCCCTGCTCAACGGCGTCTCGGCGGCGGGCGGCGACTACAAGCTGTCCCGCTCCAACGAGAAGGAGCAGCTGCAGGGCCTGAACGACCGCTTCGCCGGCTACATCGAGAAGGTGCACTACCTGGAGCAGCAGAACAAGGAGATCGAGGCGGAGATCCAGGCGCTGCGGCAGAAGCAAGCCTCGCACGCCCAGCTGGGCGACGCGTACGACCAGGAGATCCGCGAGCTGCGCGCCACCCTCGAGATGGTGAACCACGAGAAGGCTCAGGTACAGCTGGACTCGGACCACCTGGAGGAAGACATCCACCGGCTCAAGGAGCGCTTCGAGGAGGAAGCGCGGCTGCGCGACGACACCGAGGCGGCCATCCGAGCGCTGCGCAAAGACATCGAGGAGGCGTCGCTGGTGAAGGTGGAGCTGGACAAGAAGGTGCAGTCCCTGCAGGACGAGGTGGCCTTCCTACGGAGCAATCACGAGGAAGAGGTGGCCGACCTGCTGGCCCAGATCCAGGCGTCGCACATCACCGTGGAGCGCAAAGACTACCTGAAGACGGACATCTCGTCGGCGCTGAAGGAAATCCGCTCCCAGCTCGAGTGCCACTCCGACCAGAACATGCACCAGGCAGAAGAGTGGTTTAAGTGCCGCTACGCCAAGCTCACCGAGGCGGCCGAGCAGAACAAGGAGGCCATCCGCTCCGCCAAGGAAGAGATTGCCGAGTACCGGCGCCAGCTGCAGTCCAAGAGCATCGAGCTCGAGTCGGTGCGCGGCACCAAGGAGTCCCTGGAGCGGCAGCTCAGCGACATCGAGGAGCGCCACAACCACGACCTCAGCAGCTACCAGGTAGGAACCGAGGCTGCGCCGCC